GGAGGAGGTGGAGCAGAAGATCGCCTCGCAGGTGGGCCGGCTCCAGGTGGAGCTGGACCGCAAGAGCTCGGAGCTGGAGAAGGCCAAGCAGGAGAGCCTGCGGCTGAGCCGGGAGAAGCAGGAGCTGGAGGACCGGGCGTCGGAGCTGTCGCGCCAGGTGGATGTCAGCGTGGAGATGTTGGCCTCCCTCAAGCAGGACCTGGTGCAGAAGGAGCAGGAGCTCACCCGCAAGCAACAGTGAGTCCTTTACCCTCCCCCTTTCCTGGTTGCAGGGTGGGGGGAAATCGGTCCCTGGTGGTGAATCCCAGGGAAATCGTGGATGTCCCATCCCTGGAAGTGCTCAAGGCCAGGCTGGATGTGGCTCTGAGTAACCTGGTCTAGTGGAAGGTGCCCCTGCCCATAGAACAGGATGATCTTTAAGATCCTTTCCAACCCAAACCATTCCATGATTCTGTGAGTGCTGAGGAGCCCAACACCATCACCAAGCCCTCAGACCGAGTGCTCAGGCACAGTTCCCTTGGCAGTGTCCATCAGCATCATCCCCCCCCCATCAGGTGTTGCATCTTCTCCCACGTGGTCAGTGTCCACAAAGTCCTCAGCCCCTCCACGAGTGAGTCCAGCCTGGATCACATCTTGCCAGACCTTGTCCCAGAGCCACCAGTGCTGCCAGGACATGGCCAGGCTGGAGACCACAGAATCATGGGATGGTTTGGGTTGGAAGGGACCTTAAATCCCCTGCCATGAGCAGGGACACCTCCCACTACATGCACGTGGCCATCCTGCTGTCCTGCCAAGGGACGTGGTGGGGGCCATGGTGCTATAGCCCATCTCTAGTTCCAAAGGATGTCCCCCCAAACCCGGGGCTGACTCATCCCCTCTCACTCCACAGCCAAGTTATCCATCCCTATCCAACCTGAGCATCCCACTGACCCATCCTGCGATCTCATAAACATGAGAGGGGCCACCTTGGCCGTGCCAAAATCAGGGGGTTTCTCCCAGAAGGAGGGCGGGACAGCCCAAGCACCATGACCTCCATTTGCTGGTAGGACCATGGCCCTACCATCCTCATTTTCATCCCACATCCCTCACTCAACACCCCTTTCCCACCCCAACACTGCTCCCAGTTTTCCCTCCAGCCAAGCATCGGGTCATTTTGTTGCCCCAGCAAACTAGACCTTGTTCCTCAGGAGTTTCTTGTCAAATCCCAAGGCCACCACAAGGTCCAAAACGTCAGTGAGGAGCAGGTTAGTGAGGGACAGTCATGGCTGTGCTGGGCTGGGAGCACTGGTGGGATTCCTCAAGGATTTGTCTTCATCCCCACCATCCTCAGCACGTTTGTTAATGATTTTGACTCCAAAATAACGACTGTGGCTCAGGAAGAGGGTTCACAGGACGTGGTGGTGGTGGGGATGGTCTGGGGTGAGGATGGGATGGTGTTGGGGCTGGATAAGGACACCACCTCTTGGTTTGGGGGCATGTGGGGGGTTTAGGGGGCTGCCATCAGCTGCCTCGTGGGTCTTGTCCAGGGACATTTTGGGGATATGTGGTGATGGAATGAGGGACACCATTCCTGCTAGAGACATGCAGACAGGGTAAGCAGAGGATGACCAGTGGGTCAAATGTGTCTTGGTCAGTCCATGGTGGAGCTTGGACATCGTTACCGCCTAAAAACCAGGGTTTATGCCCCAAAACAACTTCCTGAATCTCCCTTTCTTTAGATAAACCCTCCTGCCCCTCCACTGTCCCCATCAGTCCCCAAACTCCTCCACCCACCCAGAGGGACAAAATCCCTTTCCAGGTTGCAGAGAGAGCATGGGAAGAGCTGATGGGCAGAGATGCTTCTTCCCCTAGATGTGGGCAAGTCATTAGAAATCATTTTCAGTGCCAAAAACGTGGTGGGGACACTTCCAGTCCCTGTCAGCTCCCAAATATCACAGAGCCGTTGTCCCCACGGGAGCCTTTTTGCTCCCGGGCTCCGTTTGCTTTACCAGGGGTGTTTTTCCACCCAGTCCATGGGAATGAGAGAGGAGCAGGTGATAACCATCAGCATCACCTTACACTTGCTGCCCAGTGCCCCATTTGCCTTCCAAATCTCTGAGGCCCCTCACTGGGAGCCTTCCCGGGGCATCAACAGGAGCTCCAAGGCTCAGCCTGCAGTTGGCAGGTTGAGGGGGGGGGGATTAAATGGTGATTAATTGGTAATTAAATGGTAATTAACGTCCAGCAATGGGAATTATGTCACTAAGGACTGGCCCTTCCTTTTTCTTTGGGCTTCTGAGTAGACTGGTGTGCCCAGGTTTGTGTGGTCAGGGGTGCAGGGTTGGGTGAGTTGTCAGGTGTCCAAGGTCAGGTTTCTGTGGTCAGGTGGGTATCCAGGGCTGGGTGTGATGGTCAGATGTGCATGGTCAGGTGTCCAAGGTCAGGTGTGTGTGGTCAGATGGGTGTCCAGGGCTGAGTGTGATGGTTGGGTGTGTGGTCAGGGGTCCAAAGTCAGGGTTCTGTGGTCAGGTGGGTGTCCAGGTCTGGGTGTGATGGTTGGGTGTGTGGTCAGGTTTCTGTGGTCAGGTTTCTGTGGTCAGGTGGGTGTCCAGGTCTGGGTGTGATGGTCAGGTGTGCATGGTCAGGTGCCCAAGGTCAGGTGTGTGTGGTCAGTTGGATGTCCAGGGTTGGGTATGATGGTTGGGTGTGTGGTCAGGGGTCCAAAGTCAGGGTTCTGTGGTCAGGTAGGTGTCCAGGTCTGGGTGTGATGGTTGGGTGTGTGGTCTGGTGTCCAAGGTCAGGGTTCTGTGTTCAGGTATGCACAGTCAGGCACCCAATGTTCAGGTGTGTGTGGTCAGATGTGTCTGAGACAGATGAGCAAAGCTGTGTTTGTGTTTGTTTGTCTGTGTTTGTGCCCCTTCTGGGGCTCCTGCTGCTGAGGGAAGGTGTGAGGTGGTTGTGCCTGTGTGTGTGTATCATGTGCACCATCAACCACAGAGGTGTGTTTGGTGCCAGGGTGTGTGTGACCAGCTGTACCTGTGCCTAGGGGGGTGTGTGCCCATGGAATGGTTTGGGTTGAAGGGACCTTAAAGATCATCTTGCTCCACCCCCTGCCATGGGCAGGGACACCTTCCACTAGCCCAGGTTGCTCCAGGCTGGCCTTGGACACTTCCAGGGATCCAGGGGCAGCCACAGCTTCTCTGCCCAACCTGTGCCAGGGCCTCCCCAC